CTAGATGGCAGCACAATCTTAGATACTACGTAGTGAGGTATGATAACCAACAGCTCGTTCGTGCAGCGGTGCGCATCTATGGCGGACGGCAAGCGTATTGCGATAATAGTTCGTCCGTGGTGCTATGTAGTCGTGCTCTTTTTAGTTCTCACTTCCTACAACAAGATAGTAGTCCACAGCTCGCACACGGCGACTGACTATATTTGTTTGTTGTTGTGCTTGTTTGCTGTTGCTGAGCCGACATCGGATATCGCCGTTCGATACACAACGTGACATCATGTCTGACAGCCTGCGGCGGGCCAGAGGGACGAGAGTGAGTGTCTTCTCGACAGAGTCAATGCCTTCTCTTCTCGAGAGAGTCAATGCCTTCTCTTCTCGAGAGAGTCAATGCCTTGTCTTCTCTCCGCTCTCGTATTTTTGTCTACCTCTCTTTCTCTCTCTCTCGCCTTTCGCCGGTAGGGTCCCAACAACATCGAACGTCAACCAACCGCAGTCGTTTCGCTTTTTGCTGAGTAAGAGGCTACCCGTGCATCCGGCTGCTGCATGTGAAGCGATGGGCGTTATGCCAAGCAATGGACTTGGGCCCTACCTAATATTTGCTCCATATGTAGTGCTATGTGAGAGTTTCCAGCGGTCCGGAGCGAGCGGCGACGGTGCTTTTCTTCTATGCGCTCTTTTGCCTCCTCCCTGAAGCCTGTCGCGTCTGACTCGTTTGTTCTCGCTTCTTTCTTTCTTTTGTTTTTCATGCTTTTGTTTTTTGGGGTCCCCCGGTTCCTGTGTGCTCATCGGGCATCTTCTTGGTGTCTACCTTGATTGTTACCCGCTGCAAAAATCGAAAGCTTCAGACAGGCAACGCGACGATACTCGTCGAGATGCCATACACAATGAATTCATTGCTAATCTGTCTCAGACTCTTTTCTATGATGGAGATGGATTCGTTGTGTCATATTAAGAAGAATAAACATAAAAAAACATCCTGTCGTTACTCTATCGATACCTCACACCCACCCCTACTCACGCCGACGCAGACACAGACAGGCAGACTCAGCTCTTTCGCCTGTGCTGTATCTGTTGTTCGTGCGTGCTGAAAAATGGTACATACAGCAGCAGCTTACCGCAGCAGGAGCTGCTTTTTGCTTGTTTGTACAGCTTTTCCTGCAGGGATGGCTCTTGTTGTGCGGCAAGTTGCATTGTTTGTTGTTGATGCGGACGAGAGGACGAGAGTGAGTGGTAGGCAAAAGCAGTACGTACCGTGTTAAAGGGACAGACAGAGTGCCTACCGTGTGTATGTAGACGTTGCATTTCGTGATTCCCGAGGATCGGATGTATGTGTTGTTTTTTTATTGCGTACCCGCGTCCATCACGACCATTATTGCGTAGTGTGTCGGCTAATTAAGGTCCTTCCCGTTCGTGGTGTCAGCACACGCGCAACACGCGACTAAAATAAAAATATAAAGCTTGGGACTAGCAACGCCGACGATATTCGTCGGCTTGCTTTCAACAATTGCCAATCAAAAGTTGGTTTTACCCCCGCCGCCTGCCAGTATTCTTGTTGAGCACGGGAGCAAGTACGTGAGAAGTACACGAAAATAACATACATGTCTATCTATTCGAAAATCGTTAAACTCCATCTCCTCCCTTCGTAGCTTTGGCCACTGCCGGTAACTTTGCCCCGGCGTGGCCATCTGAATAGCCCTCTTCATTCTTAGAGGGACGTTTTCCATTGCTAGCTCTGGTGCTGAGTCTTCGTGAAGCAGGAGTTTACCCGGGACCTCGGCTTGGTCCCGCTCCTTTGGCCGCCACCACCGGCGCCTGCGAAACAATCATCGTCAGGAGAGCTACCGTCATTCGTCGATTTGTTCTCCGTTCGTTTTTGCTGGGTTCCTATCACAAGCCTGGTTACTCGAACAGACGAGCCGGAGAAGGGTATCATCGAGGGTTGTTTGTTGTTTGGGTGCGGTAGCCCGTCAGAGGCCGAAAGAGAAAGAAGGTTGACTCAAGACCTTTGTTGATTAGAGAGTGAGAGACATGCGGTAGGCAAAACCATCGCCATGCAGCATGCCCATCAACACATTTCATCCGCGTACCCCCCGGAGGCCCCATAGACAGTATACTCTGCCGAGCACCCCAAACAGCCCCCCTGCTCGGTACGAGATACGATCTACGAAATCCTCGTCACGACTATCATTGCCAGGTAAAACGGCGATAAATCAAACTACGCATCCACACGGAAATCATCCACCATTCATTCCAATTCAAACAATTTCCCAATAAAACAATGTTCTACGAAATCTGTCGATCTCCCAATAAAACATGCTTTACGAAATCTTTCAAATCTTCTGATGATATCAAATTACTATCTCCTAAAAGGTCTGTCAATAAACAATTCACCCTCTTGAGAAAAATGCTTCACCAAATTCTCAAGAAGTCAAAACACAAACAGTCACCCTTGGAAAAATACCCAGCACAGATACACATTACATCAGAATCACGTCAGAACGGGGACGGGTAACTCCGGGAAAACGTGTCCAACGTCCTGACTTAGTCAGAACAAATTCCTCAGATAAACATTCATGTTTCAACTCATTGACCAGCTCAAATAATAATCGGAAGCATAAAGGCTTCAACCATGACTGACGAGAACATGCCAAATCCTTCCTCCAATACCCAATACCTTGACAAATATACCAGTCCAACAGCCCCCCTGCTGTAACATCCATCCCAAACACGAAGAAACCAAACAAACAAGTCCAAAACAAACATGAAGCAACCAACAAATCCCAAACAGACAATAAACAATCCAGCAGCCCCCCTGCTGGGACATCTCATATAAACGCAACGAAAATCCCATTCAATATTCAATTCCATGTCACCTCCGCAGGTAAAACGCGGAAAACGATCCAGACATGAACTACCTAAATCCCATCAGCCAACATCAATTCCATATAAAATCCCCAGGGAAAACACGGAAAATCCCAACATGAACTACCAAACCCGATGTCAGAAACACTGCTTGTTGTGCTGCGGCGGACAGCATGGTATCACATTCCCCCCCCCATGATTTCCGACAGCAGTGCAACAATCAGGCGTGATTCCGCAAAAAAATCCAGCATGCCAATTCTGCATCGAACTTCATCAACTCCAAACCGAAACAAGAAAAGAAAATATATCAAAGAAAAGGCGTCACACGTCCAGCGCATACCAGCCTGCCGTACAGGCCTACTTGGAAAGGAAAATTGGTACTCCGCAAGGATTGACTCGTCGGGTACGGTACATCGGAGGGACAGAGAAACGGTGCGTGCCCCCCAACGTCTTTACCCAGCACGTCGCACGCCAAGCCAACGCCTACGAATATCCAGCACCACCAGAAAAACATAGCGGTAACTACCATAGAGAATGTTATCCCAACAAAGAGGGAAAACCAAAGTGGAACAAACCGTATGCAGAAATAATACTACCACCGCCATTTGAGATATTTTCCCGGCAAACAACAGCCCCCCGGCCGCAACATTCCATTTGCCTCCCAGAAAAACAACAATAATCAGCCATGGAAATTCCCTGCCATTTGGCCGTGGAAATTAGTGTCCCTGCAAGGTAAAACGCGGGTGGGCATCTCTACAGAACAAAACAAAAGCAAATCCAAACCTGCAAATGTGTCAACGATAGGAAAAATGATTTGCAGACATTCAAACAACGATGAAAAGTGCAGCATTGTATCTGAAGATCAAAACACAAGAACAACATCCTGCACACAACAAATAATAGAAAAATGACAAGAAGAATACGAAAACAAACATCACGTGCCTTGGCGAGTTTGAGACCCCAGCAGAAGTCGCGCTGCTTGCCGTCATTGTCGGACTCGCCCGGTCTTCCGAACTCCCTTCCCCGCTTCATGATCCTCCTGTCGTTGTTCCGGTCGCGAACACGGGCTCCCCGGCCGTTGCCGCCGCGACATCTTTCCACGGTCGAACGGGGTGTCCACCCCCATCACCGGCCCCACTCTCCCAGCCTTCAGCCGGCACAGCTCCCCCGGGTCGAAGGGGCGCAGCAGTGCCCCAAACCAGGCCACATCCATCCCCTCCGCCTCATCGTTGCTACTGCTGCCGATGCTGCTGCTGCTGCTGCTGCTGCTGCCGCTACTGCTGCGGGAGCCATCGACCAGGTCGTCCACCCCGGGATAGTTGGCGCCGCGCACCCCCGAACACACGGTGCCGGGATCGAAAGGGTGCGTGGACGCCCCCCTCTCGCCACAGACGCTGTCATCCCAGCAGCCATCAACCTCACCTGCGCACCAACCTCCATCATCGCTGCCGTCGTCGATGCCGTTGACCACCGCTTCTCCGTTGCTGGCCGCCCCCCCAACCGATATGGCGGGGGGAACGTCACCGACGGTCGCCATCGTAGCGGCCGGTGCCATCGCCGCGGTCGCGGGTGGTGCCGTCACCGATGTCGCCACTCCAGCCGCCGATGTCGCCATTGTAGCCACCTGCGCGGGCTCTCGAGCCATTCTCCCCGCCGCAGCAGCGGGAGAAACAACACCGTCGGGTGCCGCCGCCGCCGCCGTTGGAACCGCCGTCGATACCGACGCTCCAACCACCAACGCGGGCGCTCCGGTCGTTCTCCCCGCCACCGTCGGGGAGATAACAGTGTCGCCGGGCACCGCCGCCGTCGCCGCTGGAACCACCGCCGATGCCGCTACTCCAGCTGTCGCCGCGAGTCCTCCGGGCGCTTCCTCCGCCGTCGCTGCGAAGGTAACACTACCGCCGCCGTAGGTCGCCACCGTCGCCTCTGGAGCTGCTGCCGATGCCGCCGCTCCTGCCGCCACTGCAGGGACCCCGGCAATTCCCCCCGCCGTCGTCGCTGCGAGGGAAACACTACCGCCGCCGTAGGTCGCCGCCGTCGCCGCTGGAGCTGCCGCCGATGCCGCCGCTCGTGCTGCCACCGCGGGGACTCGGGTCATCCCCCCTGCCGCCGTCGCGGGGGGAACACTGCCGCCAGAGGTCGCCGCCATCGCCGCCGGAGCTGCTGCCGATGCCGCCGCTCGTGCTGCCACCGCGGGGACCCCGGCCGTTCCCCCCGCCGCCGCCGCGGGGAAAACACTGCCGCCGGAGATCGCCGCCGTCGCCGCTGGAGCTGCTGCCGATGCCGCCACTCCAGTCGCCAACGCAGGCGCTCCGGCCATTTCTCCCGCCCCAGCGGCGGGGAAAACATCATCGCAGACACTGCCACCAGCGTGAACCATGTCCACAGAATCATTCCATCCAAACCATCCGTCATCATCACCGTCCACAGCGCCGCCAGCGTGAACCACGTCGACGAAATCAGAGCGGTATTCGCTCTCTGCCATCACCTCGCCGCCAACGTGAACCAGGTCGACAAAATCAGAGCGGTACTCGCTCTCTACCACCACCTGCTGCTGTACGACCGAGCTTCCACCGATGTCCATGCAGCTGCCGCCGCCATTGACGCCCATCCAGCAGCCACCGCGGACGATACGGCCGTCATCCTCGCCGCTGCTGCCATGAAGATGCACGGCGCAGTTCCGCCACATATGGCCGTACTGACCACAGGCGCCGCACGTACCCTCGAACCTGCGGGGTGCGGCGCATTCTTCGCCGTGGTGGCCGTTCCTGCCGCACCGAGTGCAATGGTATACCGTACCAGGCGGAGAGGGTGATTCCTGCTGGAAATACACGGCGTTGCTCCCGCAGTCATATATCCCACCAACTCCGGTTGGCGGCAGCTGCTGTTGCTGCCGCGCCAACTGCTGGTGCTGCCGCGCCTGGTGGCTCTGAGTGAAAACGCAGTGTTGGTTCTGCTGAGGGACAAAACCACCACGAGAACACTGCTGTACCTGCGATGGCTGCTGCTGCCATTGAGCACTCCATCGCTGCTGCTGCTGTTGTTGTTGTTGCTGCCGCCTAAGTCTCTCCTTCTCATACTCGGCAGCCTCCGCAGCTCTGAGCACCTTCACCAGCCTCTCCACCTCCGACTCGGCAGCTCGTAGCTTCTCTGCTGCGTTGCGCGACCTCTCCTCCATCTTGATGCGCACAACTGTAGTCTCCTCCCTTTGCGAATCTCTTCCTTTTCCGCCGCTTCTCTCCGCCATAGTCTACACTTGAAAAATATCCCGTACCCTGCTGTCCCAGCCCTGAAGCGCTGTCCCAGCAATACACCCCCTGCTGTCCCGGTCCCCGATGGCCACCGTCCCAGCTATACACTACTACCCGCTGCCGTGCTGTCCCGTCCCCGTTGGCCACGTCCCAGCTTAGCTATATATATCGTATTCGCCGCCCCATTGGCCCGGCACATACAGCTCAGACGCCAATACCCACTACCAACACCAGGCCATACAATATATTGTGTTTGGGTGCGGTAGCCCGTCAGAGGCCGAAAGAGAAAGAAGGTTGACTCAAGACCTTTGTTGATTAGAGAGTGAGAGACATGCGGTAGGCAAAACCATCGCCATGCAGCATGCCCATCAACACATTTCATCCGCGTACCCCCCGGAGGCCCCATAGACAGTATACTCTGCCGAGCACCCCAAACATTTGTTGTGTATATACGGGAAGGTGTACTCCCCCCCCTATGGGGGGCAGTTAGCTTGTGACCACAGAAGGCGTCGGCGTCAGTTGGACCAGTACAGACATAAGAAGGTACTGAGTGGAGACCGGAACGTTTTTTAATGTGACGACAACAACAACAACAACAACAACAATACGTTGAAGGGAGATTTCGTGTTCGGTGCTTGACGCTGCTGGCACTCGAGCCATGTGGAAGTAAACATTATCCACCCAAACCACGGCTCGGGGATTTGTTTTTTTTTGGAGATGGGACAGCAAGTAGTACCTCTTTTGGACAACAGCAGTTTCAAACTCTTTGGCTGTCTCGCTGCGCATTATCGAAATACAGCGTCCCTCTGTGGCAATCTGCTGCAAGTGAAGCAGAAGTGACGAGGCTACAAGGATCGCATTAGAGTTGTACTGAGAGCGACCACAGAACACGACTTACAGTACCCACATCTCGCGAAATTGGTGGTTAAGAGACTGAGCTAAGCTTCTCTCAAGTTCAAACATCGGCCTCGCGCAGGTGCTCTTTGGAAGCAAGAAAACCCATATGACATGCTTGGGCAATGGATGACGACAGCTGCGCAGAATTCCCGCTCGATATTCCACGTTACAAAGCTGAAAACGCGGAGAGAGGAGATTTTCAAGTATGCTCTCGGAAGGTCTTGCTCCCTTGATCGAAAACTCCGATTGCTCCAAACGAAGAAATAGTGTTGTAAAGAAAACCACACGACGGGTGTTCAAGCGCTGCAGGGGGGGTCCAGGGTTGTAATCATTGGCTAGATTATTCTGTCTTGTGGTCATTAGCCATGCACCCCTTTTCGAGACATTGCAACGCTGTTCGAACTCCAACCAGTCACACGCCCAGTCCTCGGGGTTCATCACTCTACCATTATTTTCAGTTTTTGCAAAATACTTTGGATGTTCTTCACTGTGTAACACAGAGAACTTACCCGCCGCGTCTAATATGTCTTAAATTTTGACTGGCAGATTTTGTTTCTTGTTTGTGAGAAGGTGTGCGGAGGTAGATTCCGTGATATGCTGCTAGATCCAAGTCCCATTAGTTCGATGCACCTTCAAGGGAGAGGTTGATTTTCAACAAGGACGACCGACGGCGACGATCGACGGAGCGACGGCGGCGAGATCGAAGAAGGCGGCCCAAAGCCGCCCGATCGACCGATCCAACCCAACCCTACCCAAACCCCCTCGCCCAACCCCGATCCTACCCCAACCAACCCAACCCAACCCAACTTCTTGTCTGGTCATTTGACATTTTTACCCGCACGCAATCCACGCCCCTGGACCGATTTCAGAGCACAATTCCTCCACGCCGAAGCGGATGCCAAAAGCAAGCATTGCGTTTTCGGGAAGCTCCCGACAAGGCGGTTCCAACGCCACCATTTTTAGCACGGCACTGCTGTCTCTGCTGCAATTAAATTTCGGACTGTGAAAATTGGTCCCAGGGTTGACGCAACCTACGCACGATAGACTAGACTATCCCTTCCAAAGCTGGGCAACGTGACTTAGGGCTAGCTTACTACGGGGGGCTCGGGGGGGGCATCAGAGAGCCACCGTTGCTGGGTTTGCGGCCGATGACCGTACTTGCTGATGCCCTTGAGACTAACCCCGCTCGCCTGCTGTTTTTCTTTTTCGGTCTGCCCCGCGCCGTATCAGAAAAGAAGACAACGAGCAAGACGCGGTTCTCTGGAGGAGGGGGGAAAACAGACTTGAAATCAAGCACGAACACACGAGCACGGTGCAGCACTCACTGATCAAGGACGTGGTGCCCAGAGGAGGGTGGCGCGGGTTTCTGAAGGACGAAGCCTTGCCGGCGAGGATAGAGCACGGGGACCGTGCAAGAGGGGGTGGGGGCTACAGAAGAGGAAGCATTTTTTCAAGGAAGACACCATGCCAGTGAGAATCAAGCAAGAAACAGATGGGAGAGGGGGCGCACAGGGTGGAGGAGAACACGGGTTCGTCAAGCAAGAAACGTTGCCGGCGAAGATCAAGCAAGAGAAAGGGGTGATAGGGGGTGGGGAATGTGGAGGAAAGCACGGGTTTGTCAAGAAAGATGCCATTCCCGCGAGAACCAAGGATGAGCGTCGAAACGGATGTGGGGGCTCCAGGGCAGTCAACGGATTCATCAAGCAAGAAGCTTTGCCGGCGAAGGTCAAACAAGAGAAAGGTGTGAGGGCGGGTGAGCAGGGCGGAGGAAAACATGGGTCTATCAAGCAAGAAGCGATGCCGGCCAAGATCAAGCAAGAGAAAGATGCCAGCGTGGGTGGACAGGGCGGAGGAAAACACGGATCCATCAAGCAAGAAACTTTGCCAGCGAAGATCAAGCAAGAGAAAGACGGGAGCGTGGGTGGACAGGGTGGAGGAAAACACGGATCCATCAAGCAAGAAGCTTTGCCAGCGAAGATCAAGCAAGAGAAATATGGGATAGGGAGTGGGCCGGGTGGAGGAAAACACGGGCTTGTCAAGCAAGAAGCGATGCCGGCGAAGATCAAGCAAGAGAAAGATGCCAGCGTGGGTGGACAGGGCGGAGGAAAACACGGATCCATCAAGCAAGAAACTTTGCCAGCGAAGATCAAGCAAGAGAAAGACGGGAGCGTGGGTGGACAGGGTGGAGGAAAACACGGATCCATCAAGCAAGAAGCGTTGCCAGCGAAGATCAAGCAAGAGAAATATGGGATAGGGAGTGGACCGGGTGAAGGAAAACACGGGCTTGTCAAGCAAGAAGCGATGCCGGCGAAGATCAAGCAAGAGAAAGGTGTCCGAGGGGGTGGGGGGGGTACCACGGACGGGCTCAAGTCTGTCAAGGAAGAAGCTTTGCCGGCGAAAGGACAAAAGAGGTCTCACCCGGGAGAAGAGGGCGCTCGGGACCACCAGAAGAAAAGGAAAAACCTTTCCGCAGCAGATAGAGCTGTACGACAAGCGCAGGCTGCTGCAATCTATGGCAAACCCCAGCAGCACCGCCAACAATCCAAAAAACACCCCCAACAATCCAAGAAAATGAGCAAGAAGGAAATCCATACGCAACGACAACGGAGGCTGTACCTGTGGCGAAAGGCGGGTGGGCAAGTGGTCGAAGACGAGGCTAGAATCACCAACCTTCGAATCAAAATGCAGGCCGGGATAGAAGCAAAAGACAAGCAGAAGAGGAAGGCGAACATATCGATGAGGAGGATGGTAAGGGCGGGGATCTACACCGGCTGGGACGACGCAACGCCCAACGTCGCACTGATACAGAAGGCGCGGAAGGGCCTCCCCCACAGGCCTTTTTAAACTGGGCGACGAGGTGTTGAATATGACGACGAATACAGAGCCTCTTGCGCCCGTCTAAAGGGGAACGAACAGGGCTGGTTGTGCTCATGTAAACGAAGGCCCCAAGTCATTAGACCACCATAGACCTCGCATCCCTAAAATGCAGGGGCGGAGCGATATGCCGAGATTTCGCCCGCCCAAGCTGGATGGGGGAGGTGCGGGGGGGGTGAGGGTAAGCTACATGTGCGGATGGCGGACGGATGGGTTGTGGGAGTCGAAACCACATGCATGATTGCTTCCCTTAGGATATTTAATACATGACAGCTTCACGGCTTGGAAGGGTCTCTGAGGTGTTGACCTGAATTGAGTCTATCTGTTTTTTTGTAGTCTAATTGTTGTCATCCCTTGAAATCATAGTAAATATAATCTTCTTGCTCTGTGAGGAAACAAAACACTTATTTTCCTGTTGGCGGCGTTCCATGGTGAAAATGAATTTGAATGGCGGATAGATGTTTCCGCAGTGCCTTGTACCTGGAAGAGTTTCTTGAAGAATCAACAGAGGTACGAGCGAGTGCATCTCCACCGTCCATCAAAAGCGTACTTTCGCCGACTGCCAGTGTCTTGGTTGAACGCGGAAGAAAGGACATAAGTGAACCGTAGAACCACCTCTCCTTCTTTGTCCTCGCTCAACAACTTTCTTCGCCACTTGTGGAGTCTTTGCCTCGGCGTGGCTATCTGAATCACTCCTCGTCCTAAGAGGAGCGTTCGCTTTCCACTATCATTCCTAGCTCGGGTGCTGAGTCTTCGCAAAGCAGCAGGAGGTTACGCGGGACTCCGCCTTCCCTCTGTTTTGCTTGTCATCACCGGCGCCTGCGATACAAGCAGCGTCAGGACAGGAACATGTACAATGAATCATCGTTTCTGTGTCGGCTCGGTCTCTGCCTCCAGCCTGGCTACTCGAGCTTGAGACTGGTGTAGTTGAGGCATTGTTTGTTGCGCATACACGTTGAAGGGAGCTTTCGTGTTGGATGCTTGGCACAGCTGGCACGTGAGCCTTATGGGAATACATGTAAACATATCCACCAAGCAAGCCAGTATCCCCCACCTCGCCAAGAAATTTGTAGTTTAGGCGAAGACTGAGGTGACTTTCTCTCATGTTAAGGTTTTGCCTCGCGCGGGTGCTCTTTGTCAGGACGTAGAAATACCGGTAACCTGCGAGTGGTACAAGTAGGCAAGTACAGAGAACTCCGTTGTTCCACGCTACAAACTAAAACGCGGAGACAGGAAGTTACGTTTGTGGTGGCAGGTCTTTTGCTTCCTTGATCGGTAAATCCGATTGGTTTCATACGAAGGGCTTATTGTGAAGAAAACCAAAACAAAGTGTAAGCGCTGCAGGAGGGGGTATGGGTAGGAATCTTTCGCTGGATTATTCTGTCTTGTTGTGACCATTGACCACCCACCCCCTAGTCGAGACAGAGCAAGACCATTCGATCTACAATCAGCCGCACGGCCAGTATTCGGGGTCCTTCACATTTTGGACTATTTTTCACGTTTCGCAGAAGGTTCTTGCGCGCATCAATTTCTTGTGGCCGTCATTTATCTCCTACATAGATAGGCAATGGGCCTCTGGCTACTGTCCCATGTACCAAACCAAATTGTCTCGCGTCCGTCCAATGTAGTCGTGCCCTTCCCAATGGCTTTTCCCTCTGCTACCCATATATATATGTAGTTTGCATCCTATACCCATCTTCATATGTACAATATTGCTATTTCTTCCGGCTGGCCACAACGGAACTTCTTCACGGGGTCTTCATGCCTGGTCTGTTGCTTCTCCAAGGAAAAAGCGCTACTTTCCGGTCTTCGTAGTCCTTCTGTTTACGCTATTAGAGTTCACTCAGCTAGACCGCCCAAAATTGGGAAAACTGACCAATCCCAACAGATCGGAAGGTGTTGGTCTCGCGCCACTGGAATTGTTGTGTTTTGTGTATCAAACCGTATCGAGGTCGCACGAGACGCTTTCATCGAAGTTTTTCGGAGCGGGTATATCGTCTAGTAAGCTTACGTTCCAACACACTATCTAGGGACCCATACTTTCAGCCAGTCGTAAACTCCTGACTGACGAGAACAACTGAGCCAAAACAATACTTTAGGAGCTCGGTGTGGGCCAGTCGATACGTCGCGAGCCTCACGACACATGTGGGAAGTGCTTGAGTGGTGGCAATATTGCATCCCACGTTCGTCCACGGTTCCTCATCTATTTTTCAAAGTAAAAAGAAAACATACCTTCGGTCGGAGAGGTTCAAGTCGCTCTTCAGCTTCCGCCTGCCGGAGCTTAAACCGCGCTTGCCTCTCCTTTTTCATGGCTTCTCGTTGGGCGACGTTGCCTCGGTCGTCGAAGATTGAGCTCGTCACTCGCCGCAGGACACCCGTGGCGTCAAAGTAGAAGGAGTCGGGGCTGCTAATCTCATCAATGACAGACTGGAGACCTTTCACCTGTCGCGTGAAAAATGGGAGTTAGGAGACGTAAATAGGATGGCACAAACACCGCGACGAAGAGTGTTTTGCAGAGCACGCACGCAGATTGCTTCATGGAGATATGCTGAAGGAGGGTACATACCGTTGGGCTGTGGCTCCGACACCGCCGTACCAAAAGATCGAAAACAAAAACAATCCAATTAGCTGATCAAGCCATATATTGACCCCGACAATTTCAATGCACAGCGTCCCGTGCATGGGCATTACACCGCGAGCCAGGAACCCTCGACACATATAGACCTATGCCAGAAAGCAGGTGAAGCGCCGAATAATTGCAACGTGATGGCTCGAGTGGAACGGGGAGACCGGCGGGTACATCAGGCTCACCAGCTTTTTGTGAATGTCGTCGGTCGTCACGAACACGTAAACTTTGCCGGTGTCAACCTGGATGGTGAACGTCTTGCTCCTGTCCGGAAGGGGCGTGGCACGCGCTTGCATCGACTTGGTTGGAAAGTTTGACTTCGGGTACCCCGAATAGCACCTCTGCAGGAAGGTTCGCAACCGTTAGCGACAAAACGAATATGTCGCCTGGTGGGTTGATCGTTTTGAAACCCATCCCGGGGTGTTTGATTTAGACGAGGTATAACTATTCGTTCTTCTGTGATGAGAAATAATACCATATGTGCGGCTGGTAGGAACGAGCTATCGAGTTGTTGCGTGATTTGCGTGCTGATAGGATCCGTTTTTTCTTCCGACTGTCGCTAAGTGTCCGCGCGAAGAATCGCTGTCCGTATTTGTCATTTACCTGGACGCACCTTGAGAGCAATGAGAGGAATGCTGCCGGATTTGACCTTCGCAACCCCCATGCTCCAGCAGAGACTGGTCAGCTTATTGTCCGGCTTGAGGATCACCCTACGCAATGCTCCATCCTTTGTGCGGTACAGGTGTATGGGGAACCTGTTACGCAATGGTGAACCATGGTCAGAGTCATGTGCTGTCGATAGCCCATTGCTGCGATTGCTTGGCAACTGCTACACAGTTATACTTCAGTCACCCAAGCTCCCATCAGCTTTTCGTTTTCATAGGATGCTCTTCGCACATGTACTCTGTCCTTCAAGTATTCACCTCCGCTCACCCCTCGCTGCGAAGTTCTCTCTTGAAGAGCTTGTACGTCCTCTTCAATCGTGCGCTAACACTATGTTGCTCACGCAGGGCTGGAAGAGAAGCTCTCGTAGCTATCCCTCGGAAAATCGCTTGCACGCGAACGGCAGCCCTAACCTCACGCTCTCGATTTCTTGCTGTGATTCGCTCCTTCGGAGGCGTGGGACACACAGGAAGTGGGGTGGTCGCTTGCGGAAATTACGATGTCATTGAAGACATATCGGCTAACCATCTGCCTGAGAGGTTGTTCGGCCCTCGATGTTTAGCCCAACGCATTGGGTAAAGGCAAGCACACGCTGCAACGCCATGTAATACCACCAAGTCTTTGGTGAAGAAAGGTCACGACAGCAGCATCAACGTGGACGACTAGCCTTTGGCACTACATAAGAAAACTTACGTACGTACCCGGATTCTCCGGTCGTTAGACCAATGTCCCATACAACTGCCCACTTGTTGCCGACCTGTAACCTCTTGCGCAGAACCAGCACTTTAAGGCCCCCTTGTATCCGCTTGACCGCCTGGAACTCAGCGTCGCTGAAGAGCTTTGGCGCCTCCGAAATACTCAGGTCATAGTTCTATTGCAACATCGTGAGGTGGTGGCAGCCACAGACCAAAAAACGAGAGAAACGAGACAGACGGCGTGTTTGCCAATGCCGAGGTTACAATGATGGCGAGCGTAGAGAACGTAACTCCATAGCTCGCGGCGCACGGACTCTCAACTCTATGGCAGTCACGTGCGAAATTTCGACATGCGCAACGCACCGTATGCCAACGGGAATATTATTGAACTGCACGAGCAAAATGGAGACAGACGCGTGCCAACATATACGAATGGAAAAATGAGGAAGCACAATATGAATGACCCGCAAGGCCTTTCGAAAGCCCGCTGAGGACACAACGAAGAGGGGTACTGTATACAGAGATGTCATATATGGTGTTGGTGAGTGTAAGCACTAAAACCGCGTGCACGTGCCCCGAAAGTTGGCATGGGTGTACTTTTCGAACACTTAGCCAAAGTGTACCACTTGCAACTGTCGCCAGCGTAGTTGTGCCGGGCACGCTATTGTCCGCTAGTAGAGACACAATGTTACCTGCCAATACTGCGAAACTTCCCCGTCGCCACTTTCAGCTCCGTTTCCGACACCGCCGGGGGCTCTGAGAAATAAACAAACGTGTAGGCATCACAAAATACATATATTGTGTCAGCATCTCCCTGTTCGCGAAGCCAGACCCCCATCAGGGTTATCTTAGCCACATCTGTCTACAGCGTACTCTGTATCATGTGTCGACGTTTGAACGATGCATACATGTACGCGTGTGTGGTGTTTGCGTGTCATTTACGCTGTTTCCATGCCACGATCTATTGCACAGTGTACTGCTGTAGTCGGTAGAAAACATGTATGTACGGCTCGGCGGTAGCCTACAGAGTTCGAATGGAAACATCTTGGTTCTCTAGAACTTTAGTCTACACGTTGTCTTTTGAGTGCACAACGGCAGCAGATGTAGCTGTAACTTGCTTGCACTGGGTGTCATGTCATGTGGTAACTTTTACTGCATAGCTCACCCGCCGAACACCCCTTCAAAAAATCCGGCTGAACCTTCCCGGTCGTTCCCACTCTGGCTCGCACGTTGCGAGTCCGATTCCGAGGACCCTGCAAAGGAATATTGGTATTCTATGCCCATATCACGCTCTGAGCCATCGTCGCTCAACGCGATCTCCTCGTCGCTCTGCTCGCTCCGGTCTCTATCAACCGCAAGATTCCTCTTGAGCTCTGCCGTACTCACGAACAACGACGACATGACGACGATCAGTAGAACAGAGGGTTTTGTTTACTGATGCGTCGAAGAGAACCATGTGGGTCTTGCTCACACCCACACGCATGTACACATTTCTACATATCCCTGCTGTTGCTTTTTTCGGCGCGTTGCCCGATGGATCCGCCTACAGCCGACAGTGAGCGGGATCCCACCGAATGTGTCCTCGATTTGGCGTTTCGAAGAAAGCCTCTTGTTCAAGTGAATGAACTCCCGGTAAATCATTCAGCGGAGCCCCCGTTCTTTTAGCTACGCCGCAGAGCACAGTCCATCGTCGATGGCCATGTCGCCCTTGGTGCGGAGCACCTGATCGTCCATTGACACCAGCCGCCGTAGTTACCCCTTGTGCTCCACTCCGTCTTAGCCACAGTGGAATGGAACCTGCTGCCTACCGATCAGGTCCATCGAATTTGATCCCCAAAACCCAAGTTGTTGCGGCGCAAGCAACAAACGGTACAGCGGCGGGAGCAGCGGGAGCGGGGTGGACTCGCCACGGATTAGCACCTGGGTCGGGACCTTCAGTAGGGGGAGCAGGCGCCATGGCGTCAGCCTCAAAGCCACCGGCCGATGTCCCCAAGATAAGGAAAAAAGGACTTTCGGTAAGCACTGCTGTTGGTATATGTCTTGTCTGTGCACAAAGCAAGAACACACATGGTACTCGTAGTCTCTGGATAGACTACTGCTTTACCATATGGTACCTGTTTTTTGGTGCTCGTGGTAACATATTACAACTGCTGTACCACCTTAATATCATACACCTGAATATACGTGATGTCTGTATAGTATAACAACGTAGTCGCGCCGCCTTCTCCCTCAGGTGCTACAGAGCCCCTGGGTTGGCACGTTGCATGGAATTGGCACGGGGGACAGGGTTGCGCAAAACCGGAAGAACGACCATAACGTTTGAAATTAGTTACTCTGTACAACGGTGGTCCCGATTACTGTACCGCGGTTATTACATGTAAAGTAGTGACAAACGTCGTCAATAATCGCGGTATATCAGGACCCGCGCTATGGGAGAAGGGCCCTGTGGGTACCGCGGTACCCGCGGTATTCAGAGGGACCTTCCTTTTTCCCTTGAAAATAGACTAAATAGAGCTATCTGCGTACCCCCCCCCGCTTCATGTCCAACTGCTGTATACGACACCCCTTACGCTTGACAAGTAGAAGTAGAGGCGCGCTCCCCACAGTGCCTTCTTCGGAGTATTCCTGCCACTCCCGACGTCTATGCATAGGAGTCATTGCCGATGCGTGTGGTGTTTCGCCGGTGCCATGAAGGCCAAGATGGCAATGATCGCAGCGCATTCCTCGTAGCCAGCTTGGCAGACGGGAGTATGCATATTGGTTTAGATTGCTGCCGGCCGACTCCGGGGCGAGCAGTAGTTCAGCGCAGGGCTGCGCGTTTGTTTTTAGCGACAGTCGAACGCCGGCGCGTGCGGCCCCGCCATCTGAGCTCTGCTCTCGTTGAGCGGCAGTGTCGTTCCCTCTAAGCCGGAGTTCCTCGGCGAGGAGAAGCTCTGTAGCTGCTCCGTTGGGAGTATTTGTCCGAGGCGCGTCAAGCGTAAGACGACGCCTGTTGGGAGGGCGCCCGCGGCAGACGCTTCGCACCGGCGGCGCAAGTCTTCGAGTTTCGCCAGCGGGTGGCCGTCGTATGATGACGTGGTGTGTACTGTAGTGCTTCGCGCCTACAGCGAGCAAAGCCCAGAACCAGTCAAATTTGTGCCAACTCCTGCTCCTCTTCGATAATCGGGTCGGCCAACCACATTTACACACATGCACATGAGGGCCGTCGAAACCGCACACGGGAGATGCACTGGCAATCCCTCCCGCACAAGCACAAGGGCTGATGGGTATGATGATCGATGGTCGATCCTTGTTGTTTAAGTATGCATACCACGAGTGACTTGTACTACTGTACGCGAGACTCGTTGAGCTGCAAGAACGAGACTGTCAGAACTGCTGTGAGTGTCAGTGTTAGTGTGTAGGATAATACTGCATGACGAAATGCACGATGGGGCCCCCACTGACCAAAAGTGGGTACACGGGTTCGAAGTGCGGTCGGGAAGTCTATTCTTATATACTCCGGAATATACTCCGGAGTATACGACAACTGGTGCAATTTATGGAATTCCGTTCCTCCGTCCTGCACTTGTCACGTCACGTGTCGGTGATATCGTACGGGGATGCACTTGAAAACAAAGGCCAGGCGAATCCCCTCCCGGGGGTAGATGAGTCGGCACGGCGGCGGGCAAGAGACATAACACCAAAAACAAGGTCTTCACAACCGTCGCGTCCTTCGCACCAACTCCCAAGCCCTCTTACTGGACGATCTATGCATACACATTAGCATCGGTTGTGAGTAAACCTGGTATTTATGTATCAATAGGGCTGTACTCTTGCCGTACGCAGGTGCTTGCCTCGCGTACTCTGCTGCGAGGGCGTTGTTTACGTACACATGCATGTGCGCTTCTCAAAATGTCGAAGCGCTACTGGCGAAGGACAGATCCAGCGTTCTTTTCTTAACGCTATCCCATTGGTTCGGTTCACCCACCACTCTTGTTGTTAATCGAGATCTCCGAAGAATGTTACTACTACTGCCGTCTCTGTCGTTATGATATCGATATCCCCGGCATGCTCATGTGCTGTGTATCGTCGATCACGCTAAAGGGACCCACTCCGACGATACGTTGTCCTGCGGCTCAAACAAACGCTCAACCTTTTTTTCACAGACAACGGGCGAGCCATGTGCCGAACTACCTCCGATCTGCATGCAATTGTTTTTTCCTTACAGACAACAACCGTCCTTATGTTTGGTCATGCAGAACATGCGCCCCTCCTCCCGTAACCACGCCCTCCCTCGCCCCATTTCAATTTTTTGCGTTCGCTACGGCTAGGTTGCCTGCCCCATCGCGTACGGGTCTTTAGCTTTTCTGCTGGAGCGGAAGAAGCAGAGCGAGTTTGTGACACACAAATGGACTCGTAAGTACCCCAAGTAGTCTATGTGCTCCATCTCGGCCTCTTTTTGATGAAACAAACACGTGAATACAATACATGTCATTTGGTTATGCGTGTACTGCTGTGGCCGTGGCATTTCCTGTACCATGTTCTTAAGTTCGCTGGCATTGCAGTACCCAATACTCTCGTAAAACCATTAGGCACATTTTTGTAGATTGAAATATATGCGTTTGGCACGACGAGATGCATGCACACGGCCCACGACGTTGTTCAAAAGCTCAGGGACTCCCCCTCTACACGCACTTTACTGGTGGTAGCAGGTGGTGTGCCGAAAAAAGAGTCACTCTGGATTTTGTTCAGGCAGATTAGCACCATCCTACCTATACCTTGTCTCCTCAGGTACTGCTCCCTCTGTAATGCTTACCTCTTGTTGGTTTCACCCACCGTTTCTGCTGCGTTCGATCCGTCTCCTCAATCCCCTTAGCCCCGCCTTGTATCCGTGTGTAAGGACCCTCCTTATCACCTTTTTCCTTGTATGCACGCTGTCACTGCATTACCCTCTTACACTCAACACTCATTGTTTGTTTTTTTCTTCCCCCCCCCCCGTAGTGTTCGTGCGAGGGCCGAATGGCGAGGACATCTCGTACTTCGTGTCCAAGGTGGTGTTCACGCTGCATCCTAGCTTCGCCGAAGCTACCCGAGGTCGGTAGATATCATTACAGTACGCAGCAGCCTCGCCTCAACAATCCCTTACGTAGATTTATTCGGTGTCTGTGTGCCTGGCTGGCTGGCTTTTGAGTGTGAGCGTTGGTCCCGGGTCGCTACCGTATGCATCCGGTTATCCTTTTCACCAGGCTCTTGCGACGACATGTTTGGCAATGAGGTGGTAACATGTACTGAGTTATGCAAAGAAGAAGGCGTGTTGTTCAAGAAACTTCAAGGCATTGATCGCATCGGTGGCATGGCTGCGCAGCAGTTCAGCCGCTTCATCAGGCCCCTATTCAACCTCAAGTCTGTACGTACAGTACTGAGTGCCATGTTGGACTTTTTATCATTTCCTCAGTCTTTGACATGTTATGCAGATGAGGATGTGATTCTTTGTGTGCATGCTCGCTGTACCATCGACAACGCGGCGCCATGTGTTATGCCGTTGAAGAGCTTGGGCGTTTGGCTTCCTACCCCTGGCGAAGTACGGTTGCTCAGCTTCCGCCGCCATGCCGACGACGTACGTTGACGAACCATGCGATATCGACATGATCACAGCGAACGTGCACCAAGCCCTAACCCCTCAACACTGCACTCGATTCGACCAGACTCGATCAGAAGGCTCTGAATCTGGCTGACTGGGAGCGGTTATGATTCACGATCTCAGTGACCCCACCCCCCGCCCGTCGGTGCTCTGCCTTGGTATGTACGTTTGGGCTTGCAGAGATCACGTCACCACCGTTTGAGGTTACGGAGATGGGGTGGGGCGAGTTCGAGGCTAAGATGACGATGCACTTCAAGGATCCCAACGAGAAGCCGGTGGACGTGTTGCATCAGCTGAGGCTGTACCACGACCCCGCGACGGGCACGACTCAGCCCAAGAAGGTAAACCAACGACGGCACAGCAAACCAAGATTATGACGTTCAACATTTCCTTCGCGTTTTGGTGCTCTGGGGTGACTTTTCGTGACGTTAGGATTGCCGGTCCATCGCCCGCAGGCACAACCTCTTCGTATCCTGCTACTATATGATAACCTCGACTCTTATCTTGTCGCTGGTCTTTCTGTTGTGAACCGTAGCACCCCCGGTCTCGAAGAATAGCCTTCTCCAGCCCCCCCCCTTCCCCCCCGCCCCACGCACACCTCCCAACCGTGGAGCCTTTCGCGGTACTTGTGTTATCGTACGTAATGTTTTCACTTCAGGGTACGGGTCGTGGGATACTGCTGTCGTGCTGAAGGGATTTCTAGGCGTTGTGGATGTCGCGTGAAGCGTAGCGTTTCAATGTCGTAGGCACGGCCATGGCCTCGTGATGTCTGATTCTGACAGCAGAACCTTGCTGCTGTTGGTCTTATAGATGCCAACGTAGGCTGTTTGCTGGGGAGTCGAGACTGCCTTGCGTCGGGGGAAGGGGGGCACGCGGACGAAGGTCATCAAAGATGGGGGTTTAGGGCAGAGGAGAGGGACGTGAAAGTTACATTTGTTTCTCTCTGCACATAGACTCCCGCCGGAAAATGTCAAAGAGTCAAGAAGAAGCGTTCATGGGCGGGAGGAGGAAGGCATTCACGGAGACCTTGGCCACATTTTTGGAAGGAGGATGAGAAGATCCGAAAATATCATGTAGCGATACTCAAGTAGCTGCGAGTGTAAGTGAATTTCCGTGCTTGCCCCCCCCCCCAGAATGAGTCTTTCCCCGAGAACCCTGTCATCATCTCCTCAGGTCATCCCCATCATCACCCGCGTTGCCCTTGGGCGGGGTCATCGTTCCCCACGGTTTTTGGTTTCGTGGCAGGCGGTGGTGGCGGAGTTCTACGACGAGGTGGTGTTCACCGACCCGTACGAGGAATTCTACAACACCCTGATGCAGGGCCAGAAGCTGCTGCCCCAGAGAAAGCACGAGCACCAGGAGCACTTCTCGACGTTTTCTGACGGCGACACCCTGCAACGCTTGGCGGCGGCGAGAGAGTGGGTCCACAACCAGCTGCGAGGTGAGCCGGGGGCAAACAAAAACAAAACCGGAATCCCTACAGCACCATTGACCGTCGGTGTAGGTAATTATTTCCTCGTCTGACCGTCGGGGCAATCGTTTCAAATATCGGGGTACTTCTCTCGTGGGTAGAAAAATCCCTCCCTATTTCAACGAACACCCCCGTCAGCGCTGGCGCAGCCCGCAAACATTGCCACGCACACCCCTCCCTCTGGCGTTCTTATGCGCACCGCACCCGTTGGGCCTCATTTTACATGAAACTTCTCGTTCATGTATCTATAATACTGCACATGTTTACATGTTTTCGTCTTTTGTCGCAGAAACCAAGGACAGGATTCGCAAGGCGGATATGGACATGGCCCAGCTCAAGGCCAGCGCTACGGCAAGCTCGGGCAGGGGTCTTGGTCGAGGTAGCACCGCACAAACATCACAAACATCACAAGTACGGCGGTGATGATGATGATGATGATGATGATGCTGCTGCTGCTGGTGTCGACAAATAAAGCTGAATTGTGAATAGATTGGTTAGGTTAGAGTTTGTGTTTGACTCGGGGTTGGTGCTGGCTCTGTGCTCTGTGCTCTGTGCAAGAAAGCTATGGATGGAAACCGGGACGTTTCGCGTTCTGTGGGACAGTGGTTTGGCACATGGTACCAGATTTCGACGTGCCGCCAGTCTCCCCAGTCTTACTTGTTTTTTTTTTTTCATTTTTGTGCATGACAAGAAAAAAAGAGTTTCCAAATTACATGTATTAGGCTAGTCTACAGACATTGCCCGACACGAGAGCAAACATTGGGTCGAGTGTGTACCACGTGTTTTCATGGTAATTTTCTGCTGCTGCTGAAAGTCTGTCCCGAGTCGAAGGCCGAGAAACGTGGTGCCTGGTCTGTATTGTACTGCACGTCACGCGGCTCTGACTGGTACTTGGGCACGACTAGGTTTAACTTCGAAAGTGACGCAGTAGAAGCTGGCCACTCCGGAGAAAATGCGGCCCTTTTGCTGCACTCACGCACACAGACATGACTTTTGCCTGTTCCCGTTTTAGGCGGCCTCGAGAGATTTGGGCCGTTCTCGCCGTAAACTTCATCGCGCTAAACACTGCCACTGCTGTATGCGTAGCTAGAGGGGTGCATGGATCGTTGTACTGCTGTTCTGTAGTACCAGCAACCAACCTGTGATGCTTGCACTGCTGTTCCACGTCCGGCACAAACGCACACCCGATGAATTAGAGACGGGAAACGAAGCTCTCCGAGGCACACCTTCGTCGTGCAGCCCTCGTTAACCTACTGCTGTAGGATAGCAAAGGACCAGCTACAGCAGTACCACCGTGTCGTGTACACGCGCAGCCAGTCAGGACACAAGGCTTCACGTTCGCCGAGCGATAAACCCTGAGAAACAAGTTCTGGGCTGCTCGAAAGGCTTTCTCCCCCCCCCGCCGCTCCAAATCCTTGCTTGTTACCATAACTCATTTGCGCTCTCATGGTTTTCTCGGCAACAGCCGAGGAGCCTTGCGCTAACTTATCTTATCCTTGGCTGCCCGTCGCTTGGCGTGATTATCTTTTGCTCCGATACGGAACACGCGGAAACATGACAAATCGCCGCGAATCTCCCACCCAACAGACCATGTAGACCAGACCGCGTGCGGGGAGAACTTGGGTTCTTTCGTCAACAGCGTAAATCATGTGGCGAATAGACTATAATACTGCTTGCTCTTGTGAAAAGCACACAGCCGAAGCCTCTCGGGCGATCGGACTCCCCGACTTGGGTATCCTATGTACCATTCTACAGTAGTACCGCGTGACTCGTAGCTGCTCGCCTGCCTCTCCGTGGGAGATGAGGTGATGGCTTGGTTTACGTACGTATTCTTCCCGTGCTCGCGCGATGGCAGGAAGGAAGAAGAAAAAATGTACTATCTTTTGTCAAAAAACAAGACAAGGAAGAGCCACCATTGCGACGGAAAACGCACACCGAATAATAAAACATCAACATTCTCCGCGAAAATGAGGACGATCGATCGTATCGTAAAATCCAGCAAAGTAGAAAGCACACAGCAAAACGTTAAATATCGTCTCTACTTCAACATCAAGTCGTATGAGATTAACCAACCGCATCTGTTACCTCTCTTTTATCAACGTGACATGGAAGAGGCCCTGAGCAAACAAAGACTAAGAATCCCCTCGGACGAGGAATTGAGAACGACGGTACGAGACGGTACGAGAAATAAAACTTTGGCAAAGTAAAGGTAGCAAACCGGACCTAACAAATACCAACCTATCCGGAGGTGCTGTTTCTGCTAGCGCTAACCCCCCACCTGTCCCCACGGACGTTTGTAAAAAAGGATACCAATTATAGCACAAAACAAGCGCATGTTCACTGTTCCTCCCCAAGCAAACCAGCCAAAATCGAAGAAAAATAATCCCCTTCTTTTCCGAAAACAGCCAACAGAGGGATGTAGATCGGTCGGTGTGAAGCTATCAAGGGTACACACACTCTTTGTAGCCTTGCAGCCAATTCGGCGCACTAAAGAAATGACGGCACGACTGTATTTTTACACCATGTCGTGCCCGTAGTAGTCGTCTTAGGCGACGGAGAAATGAGGGGGCTGACCCGCCGCAAACACGCACCAACAAAGACAAAAAATCAGCAGTCTATTCCATCAACATCAATACCGATATTTTTCGTTCCTTTTCCTCTACCATTACCTCTACCAGGGTCTTGTCGTCTCGCCGGAACGAAAATACTCAACACAACACACGACACGCTGCTATGCACAGAGTAGAGACAGACAGACATTGTTTGTCTCACTCTACTACTAGCCCCAATGAGAAACAAGCAAGCCAGCGAGAACATGCATAAAGAGAAGTTGCACTCTAGCCTCTAGCCCAAAAAAAAAAACAGGGGTCTCCACAGATGCGTTTATTCGGCCACGAGATGTACCAGAATAGTGTTATGCTGCCCTTCACGTAAGCGAGGATTCATGCCGTGGCAAATATCGACCCCCCCACCCACGTAGTGTCTCCGATCTAGGAATGCCTACCCTGCCTCCCCGTCACCAGTTCCGTTCCGCACGGGACACCAACTGCTCACTCTGATGAATGCCACATACCATACGTGGCTCGGACTGGCAAGACCTATAATGCCTGCACTTTTTCTTGACCTCCCCCCCCCCCAACCCTTCCCCAAACATACATCAAATTAGTACATGGCTCCAGAGGTCCGGCGGGCTATTGCGCCGTGTACGCAATGGCCAGGAACAGGAGGGAGACCGACTACGGCGAAAACACGCTTGGTTCTTGAGCAGACTCTTAACAATTAAAACAAGGGTCGCAGGATTTTTTCCCTGAACCACGAGCAATCCCCCACCCGTGGTCAACCGCACCTGCCGAATAACCGTATTGTTGCGCCTTGTGGTACTGAACAAGTCTGCAGGCAGAGCTGGTCCAAGAGAGGAGTTGGAGGACCCTGTAACCTACAAGTGCTGCCTATTCCGTCTGTATTCCTCGCACCGTCGCGACTCCTCTCACGATCTTAACCTTCTCTCTACTTGCCGCTTCAAGCTCACGTCTCCGAGCCGCCTGGGGTTTATTTAGGTGGTTGGTTCACGGGGGAAGAAAAAAAGGTACACAGAACCAACACCCCGACAGACACACGAGCGACAGCAACAACCAGCGGGCAGGACAAGGACGGCGAGCGTGGTTGAGAGTTGAAAGGGGTCGCTCACGCCTCGAGGCGCACATGGGTTGGTCGCAACCTCAAGTCTTTGCACGAAATCTAGAACGGCAGTCATAGTGGTTGTTTGAGAGGTAGACACGAGGTTGTATGAGGTTCCACATACGAAGATTCCAGATTGCTAGAGCGCAGCAGCCCGTGTTCCGTGGAACCCCGTCCCTTACGCAGATAACTCTTGTCCGCATTGTCTAAATAAGGGGCGCCACGCCCTTTATTGTAGACACACAGGAACAGGAAAAGACAAACCCTGGCGTGTGCGTACGAGACAGAAGCAACTATTGCAATAGTCACGCGTCTACTCCGTCGCGTGATGACCCATCCCATCACGTTCATCACACGGATGGCAACATGCCCGCAGTGTCATCTTGCGGCATCGAACCGCGGTGCTCACGTAGTATTAGGGCCTAGGCGGCGGCAATAAGCAACAAGTGCTTGTCACGACCCTCTATACAAACAGCAGACGCAACAGCAAGCACAACCGTCACATCTGGCAGATGGATCACAAGGGTTTGATCGCTCGATACACGTAAACGGAACCAAATGGCAACGTTGCTTCCGTGGGAGACGATGATGCGGCGATACATTCTGCTGGTGTACGCCAAAACTGCCTCAAAACACACATGAAAACATGTGTTTTTTTCACCGATTGGGCACACCCCAGAGACAGGACACATGACACAAGCGCGTTCGTGGCAAGTCTTTACGAGTCCAGAAAACAACACCATACAAGACACAAGACCCGTGTAGCACGTGTGCCGACACCAGTGTGTGCCTATGGCAAAAACACCATTGTACACTACCGAACCACCACACCGGACACCGGACAGCTTTTATATGCTACAACCAACCCCGCCATCGTCCAGGAGATGCAGATTCAACATCGTGCCTAATGCAATTTGCTGAAGAGCAAAAAGCTGTGTGTTACCTCGGCGCGCAATCGAAGAATTTCTTCCGCTTCTTCCTGCGTCTCGTCTCGCTGCAACGCCACCACATGCCAATTTCGTTCGAAGTCCCGGTCGTGCTCGCGGTGGTAGCCTTCCTGGTTCTCGACGTCAGGCTGCTCCGGTACGCCATCCAACGGGTCTGGCGGCGGTTTCTATTGCACCAAGAAAATGAAAGAAGCAAGAACAAGAGGTGCAACCAGGCAGGCATATGCATACGTGTTCGTGGGCATGATACGACGATAGCAACCACGACAAAGATATGTAGATTGTATGTAGATATGCATATATGGGGTATCCCACCCTATTCACTGCATACCATACGTACGCAGTACGGATACCAGGTACGCGAACCGCCTTGGTGCAGGTAGACAGAGACAGAGACGGGCAAACCGTGCATGATAGATGTCGTCATCTCGTTCAACAACGATTTCGTAGCGTCTACCGGCAGTAGCATAGACACACGATGCGTTGATCCGCTACACAGTGGGATACAAGAGGTGTAGGTAATCGGAAAAAAAAAATACGAAGCGATGCATAGGAGCAGAGAGCACAGATGTGTACAGCAGCAGTGGTTGAAGAAAGCCTGTCGTCTGTTGGCATTTTACGATGCATACAATTGTACGTACATGTATTAGCATCAGAAACTAGAAAGTTGTGGAGTAACGTCTGCATACACATGAACAAACGCAAAAATGACTGTGAAATGAGAGCTGTTACCTGCACCGCGCCCGGTGTGGCAGACAAAATTAATACAGTCACCGAGAAAGTGAAAAATGCCCTCCAGACAGAAGAAGATATGCATACAACAACTTGGCCCTGCCTTTGGGCAAGAGAGAGGGACGAAAGACAATCAAAGTTAAAGAAGGACCGGAAATCTGATGCAAAAACCCAGCAATCAACACAACAGAACTTTCTTCCCCGGCGTTCAAAATTCTTTGTTTCGAAGACAGAACGAGGGGGACGGACATGCACGGCCCCATGGAAGCTAGCTCTCCTGCTGTTGACGAGAGATCTGCCTCATGTACAAAACTCGTTTGTCAAGTAGTGAGTGGCGTGCGCCGCGAATAACGCGACTCTCGGCGAACAGCCAGGTACAAGGGGAGCAGCCTGTTCTGTGTACGAGCTGAGAATGTTGACGAAACAAGCTCGGATCATACACGACGGAGGGCATGCAGCGAGAAAGCCAGTGAACGCAATAAACACCACACGGAAAACTCGAGGTTCTGTGCCCTGCCTCCTCAACTCAAGCGCTCTTGTGAACTTTATCGCGACCTCCAACAGGGCAGCGCCCCAATGAGAAGGGTTCTTAATGGTCGAGACCTCGTTTGGTAACTCGGTTGGTAACTTCGACGGGTAACACGGATTCGCACTGAATCGGCCTTTGGACGCCGGAACAAGCAGGACGCTGGAACAAACAAATGTCAAGGGGCGGGGTGTTCCCTCGTTGTCGATCACGAATTTTCTTCCACCTGGCCAGGCCGTGGCTGCGGGTGGCACTCTTCGCGTCACAACGGACGGCGTGGAAGCACCGTGCTATACCGCCGTTCGTCTTGTTCATGACAGCCAACTATTTTTACAGTCTTGAAGAAATCAGAAAGCACACCTTTGAACTTTTTCGCCTGCGAGGTCCACCAGTCGAAGAGTTGGCTGACATTTTTTTCCTCCGTCATGCAACTTGGGAAACACAACAGGATAGGCTCCCTCTCTTTTGACCGATCCGGGAACAAAGCACAGAGCAGAGTCTGCCCCTCAACGAAAAATTAGGTGTTCGAGAGGTGTTCCATACACAACACTTCATGATCGCGTCCGTGTCACCCGCCAAAACTCTAGACTAAGTACCTGGCTGTGAAGGAAAAAAATAAAAAGACGAATCAACTTCCCAACAGCTCCTTCCTCTCTGCTGTGTACAAGTAGGCATACGTCCGGCGTTCCATTCACCTTACACCTGCAGCAATGTGCCCAGTTCCTGGCGCAATGTGTCCAACGATCGATCGCCAACAGCAGCAAGATGAAGACTGGAACAGAGAGGATGTACGCGAGACACACGGTGGCAAGGGAGAGAAGGGACAGGCTGACAAGGTGACCAACACACGGATGGGCAGACGGAACGACTGCTGCTGTATTCTGGGTTCATCATGAGGTGTAGCAGTCAAATAAACTACAACTTTCTTCACGGGCCAGCGAGTAGGAACACAACACCACCCCAACTCGCGACCACGACGTATCTTGAACGATTCATCGACACGTCGATATTTTCCCGACACCTTGCGCATGGTCTTGCCTCGTTCAGAGTGTCAAATCAACCCTCTCTCTGGCGTGTAGCAAACATGGCTGTGTCTGCCTGCTGCTTGTATGTAAGAACACCAGCAGCCTTTGTTAGATTGCCAGTTGGAGATCAATCAACTCACCGCCACCAACAACCGCCCACAGCGTGACCGATAGCCCTGCCCAACTCATAGCCCAGCTCACGGCTACACGGGCGAGTGTCCTCCAACGGCACGCCGACACTGCTGTGGGCGAAGCAGGGCTTCACACCACACGCTGAAAAGAGCCTCCCGCCTGCTGTATTCCAACATTCCAACAGACGTTCCGACTTCCGAAAAGGCGGGGGGTTACGCAGATTGTAGTGAGATACTTACACCCCTATTGGGTATCATGCGAACCCATGCGGAAGAGTGCACCTGGTGCTTGTGCTTGTACATAGCGAGAGCAGTGTAGCACCCCAGCGCCCACAGCTTTTCCGCCGTGTGTGTATTTTCATACGCACTAGATCAACGGTATGAATATCACGCGGTACAGTAGATGTATCACAATCAGAGCAGATCTACTTGCCTGCAGTAGTATGCATTTTATATATCTACATGTCAGCAAAAACATGGCCGTATGTTGCCGTATGCATAGATTTCTGTATTGCTGTGCGCGTTGTGGCTATGCCGTGTCTATGCCCCAGCAGATCTTATTGCACGCTGCTTTAATATTGTGATTTATGATCCTTGGTCTGTGTGACCCTGAAGTCAGTCGTCGCCATGCAGTCAATCTCCTCACAGACTACTCTGGGTATGTATGCACAGCCAAGTCAAAAGCAAGAAAACCGTGTTACGGGAGACAAACAAAGCGTGCATGTATGTATGTGCATGCAGATGGCATGGATCGACGGGCTCCAATCCGTTGGCTGTCGGGTGATTGCGACAAAATGGTCACAGCAAGCCGAGAGAGAGTGAGAGGCCGTCCAAAGACGCCCGGGTGAGCGGGGGGCATTGACATGTAATAGCCGCCACGCATGTCTTTTCTATCATCAGCGCGCTACGTACACGCTGCAACGCTTCTTGTTGACATTGAGACTGGTAGCTGTTCGGTAAATAATTGTCTGTTGATGTCTGTCTGTCGGTGGACGGTGCAGGTGACGATGGAATTACGTTGGAGGGATTGGAAAAGCCGTAACCTTCACGGACGCACGCTGAAGATTCTATCATAACGGCGACGATGGTGGTTAGTTCACTAGAGAGAGGCGGGGAGACGTGCATGGGGGGTGGGGACGAGGGGGATGACAGCAGCCGGGAGAGAGAGCTTTGCTTGTGGACGGCGATTCCAGCGACGAAGACAAAATGCAAGTATTACTTTGTTTCATCCGAGACCCTCATACTTCCCTTGCGTCGTTGTTGTTGATGCTGTTGCAATCACGCGTTAACCGTTATTGATGGACATCTTGATAGTATCGGCGGTGACCTCTCTTGGCGTGTTTTACGTTCCTTCTTTGCGTATGCGCGTCACACGGCCAGGACGACGATCTGGGCCTTACGACGAAGACGAAAGCATGGGCGACGCGGACGGCGAGATAGACGGCGCGAATATCCCGGACGGTTGCCGCGTCCAAGTCTCTACATACGCCGATCTGCTCTAGAAAGTGCGTTCCTGCCTCATCGAGGCCCACCAGATTGGCATTGTTTGGTTTGGTGGGTTTATCACTCGGCAGTCTCAGCAGCGTACCCACCTCCTGAACTACTATTGGACAAGTCCAATCCGCGCACATCTCGAACAAGACCAGAGTACGTTCAGCATGAAGTTGCCATTGGAAAAGTAAGCGCATCAGTGGAGATCCAGATACGGTGGTATAGGGTCGTGGATGTTGCTTATTTAGGGGAAATTTGGCAGAGCACGTCCAGTTCGGCGGGGGGAGAACACTCAACGTGACCGTGTTGGATCAAGAAATTTCTCCGTGATCCCGTCCAGTACTCATACGAATTGTGATCGCGGAAGCTGAACTTTTCGTTTGATCCACGGAGGAATCCCTTTTAGATCTCAGTTAGAGCCTACTTTGGATAACAAAAACGTTTGTCTTGAGAAGCACGATGACCACGACGACAGCGCTGGGCAAGCACAGCGCTGACCACAGGGATGGCAACCCTGGGGGGACGTGTTCGTGGCTTGAAAGAAAGCTTGGCGGACTCGGGCATTAACTTTCGTTGAGAAGCACGCTGACTTGTAGTAGACTAGTGGTCATCGTGATTCGAACAGTAGTTTGCGGTTAAACAAATGCTTTTTTTGAGAGACTACATGTATGTGTACTTTATAAAAATACTTTTGTGCATATCCTTTACGACGTAGTTTGCTATTTAGTCCCTTTTGGAATGAATACATTTCGCCTGTTCGTTGCGTCTTGCTTGTACCCATCAAAGTTCCCATCCATCCACGTTATTTGTGTGGTTCCTCCAACCTTTGTGGTGGACTTGATTGTCTCATTTGCTATTTCCGCCACATGCTCCTCTTCTCGCTTGGGGGGCGTGGGCGCGTACTAATTTTCTGCTTGTTGCCTCTGTCATTTCAACATCAACCGTGCATCATGTATGAGGTGGGGTACCTTAGCTTCTCGTAGCACAGTCACCTCAACAATCGGGTGCTCTGGAAGTTTCTTTGAACGTTTCTCGGGCGAGGCAGGGGGACGGGGTCTGGTACTCCTACTACTGTACAATTTTATTAAGGTTGATGGTGATGGATACTTCTCCTCTAGATGACTTTCTTCCGTAGTGCGATGTGCTCGTCCATTGATTCATGTGGCGAGGAAGACATTGGTTCGGGGAGGGCGTGGCGGCGGTGAGGGGCATCGCATACACGCTTTGTCTAGATCTGTCTTTTGACGGCGTCACAAAGATGCTCGTAGATTACATACGATACACACGCCAACTCTGTGCACTTTAGAGCAGTTCATGTCCACCTCGCCAGACCCAGAAACAACAACATCCGCCCCTGCCGCAACATTGGTCTAGCTCTCGTGATTTACGTGCACCGTATCTCGACATCGATGGGGGCAATGGTGGGGCAGATATTGTAGTCACACGTTTCCGCGTGCTTGCACACACATACTGCTGTATACAATACCTGGAAGGTCGAAAAATCTTGAGGGAAACGTCTTGTTCCAGCCAGGCCAACCAAACGGAAAGAGGTCGGACGTAAACCTGCCTGAAGTTCAGTTCTAGACTGTAATCATTACTACTGCAGATTTGAAGAATATGAAAAAATACAGCGTGTACTTGTTGTGCCTTTTTGGGAACAAAAAATGGCGTTATGTAGGCACATGAAACGTAAACGACACACACCATTTCGTACGAGAACACAGCAAGGAGAAAGGTTTGAGGTGAACACGCTCTCTCACCATGCTGTATGCCACGAAGGAGTGATTCTTTCGTCGAATGCACTGCCGTGGTTCGGTTGGGAACTTCGCAAGACATTCTCACGTCCGGACATACATACATTTGGGTGCGCTCGAACTGTGGGCGTAGTGACAGGGGACGAGATCTTCTCCCAAGTTTCCCAAACGAACTCTAAAGGAGGATGGCAATCATCTTGCGTACCCAAACTTCGACTACACGGTTGACAAGGGAAATGAATGACCGACCGATGCCTAAAATCGCGGTATTTTTCTCCTGTCTGTGTGGCCCCGACCGGATCACCCCAAAATATACCGGGGGTGTACGAAACGGATTTTCAGAGCGAATGGAATGACAATGCACACAGAGCGGGTGTCGCCGGTCTTCACACACGCATAGCTTAAGTACCATACGAAAACACCCCATAAGAAAAGTGCTCGTTGGAACATAAACAAAAAACAAAGTGGCTACCGTCGTCGGCACTTTATTTCCGCAACGCGACAGAAACACGCGAGGGGTGCGGTGCGCTTCGCCGGTACACTGAATAATGGTTTATGGTTTCCTCGGCATATTTATTACGTCCACAATTACCGGGGCGGGAGGAAGCGGCCCTGCGCTGGAGTTGTGTCGGTGTTTCGTGAAACATGAGAAGGCAACGCTCATGGGAACAACTTGAAGTGCCGGTGAGACAGACGTGGTATTCTAGCAGGCAGCAGGAATGCTTGTGGGAAAAGGTAGGAAAGATACTTTCAGCACACGCGTGGTTTCTCGTGACGCTAGACATCTATCTGTAGGACCCGCAAAGAAAATGCGTGGTTAGAAGCATGTGCTGCATGGTCATCTTGTCGTCAAAATAGATTTTACGGCAAAATATAAGCGCTTTGGGAAGATACAAGCACTCACTACAGCGGTGTGCATGGTCGACAGCACCGGCTTGCCCACAGACCAGAACGCAAGCGTTCGAGTGTGCGCAATCAAGAGCACGAAAGCGCCACCTCGACAACGAAATTTCGAAATTTCAATATCATGTCGTGGAGGTGATCATACCGCGATCTTTTCGCGGACGCTGTGCGCGGTATACCGTGAGTACTACCAACCACCAGAGTGGGTCGGGTACATGGATTCTTGAAAAAATAAAATTTCAGGTCGAATTCCGTTCACGAACTCGACTTTCGATCTGTCGGCGGAAAGACATGAAAAAAAAAAAAAACGGACCCGCAAGCCGCGCATTGGACACCACAAAAGCGACAAGCTTCGGCACGTCCACAAGAAGTGCAGTCGCTTGCACGAAATGTGCTCAAAGTCAAAGGAAAAGGTTCATCGTTATTCTTAATATTCGTATTTTAAAAGGTACCATGGGAATGCACAAAGTTCGCCTTGGCTCTATCTAGGTGGGAACACGCTTGATGTGCCCCAACACATGTTCCACTCTCTATGCACACGACACACTCAAAGAAACAGCCGCTAAATATTCTTCAAGAGCCTGCTGCTTCTCCACAGCACCGTAGCAAACTACTTCTTTTATGCCAAAACCCAAGTAAAAAGACAACAGGCACATGAAACAAATGAATTCAATTCATCCAACTTTCGTGCGAAACAAGGGCAAAAAGATACAGCAATGTTGCGCCCGAGGATTAAATCCTCGTCCAGTAAAAGAAAAGCAGGCACATGAAACGGATGAATTCAATTCATCCAAATTTTGTGCGAACGAAGGGCAAAAAACCTCGCCACAAAGTTGCGCCTGGGAATTCAATTCCCGTCAAGTTTGAAGGCGTCGCAAGGTCACGCTATCTAACCTACGTGCTACGTTGGGTGTATTCCGCTACGGGAACAGGGAAGCCATCATCATCCACCAAGAACGAAAGCAACGCGACAAATTAAAAATATTCGAGACAATAACCAACCGGGTTCCGCTTCGGGGGCAACGGTCTTCCTCGCTCCGAACAATTTAGAATGATACAGAAAACGAAGTGTGAGACGAATTCAATTCATCCAACTTCGAGCGAAAAGGGGAGGAAAACACGGCACAACCGATACACACCTACCTAAGGAGCCAGGCTACATCAAGTCGCAAACCGCAGGTTGCCGCCTTGCTAACGCAGGTATTCCGCTGTTCCGCTACGGGAACAGATGATGAGAGTATCATCAACAACATAAAATAATCGCAAGACGTGTGTTCCGCTACGGGGATAGCAGCAATTATCATCGCAATTATCATCTACGGGGTGGGGCGGGCAAGGGGAGGGGGGGTGGGGGGGGGGGGGG